CTTGGTGAAGCTTACTGCAATAAAGTGCACTGCGTGCTAGTGCGCCGCCTAACCCGATAATGATTGGGTAAATGTCCCTCTACCAAACTTCTTTCTTTTTTTTTTTTAAGTGTCTCCCTGACTCTCCCACTTGACTTGATAACGATACAGTAGAAGTGATTTTTCAGAAATGTCCCTCCACTTAACTCCTTTTTTTTTTTTTTGGTAAATGTCTGCCACTTGACTTGATAACGATAGAGTAGAAGTGATATTCCAGAAATGTCCCTCTACCGAACTCCTTTTTTTTTTTTTTTTTTTTTTTTCTGGTAAGTGTCTCCCACTTGACTTGATAACGACACAGTAGAAGTGATTTTTCAAAAATGTCCCTCTACTTAATCCCTTTTTTTTTTAGGTAAGTGTCTCCCACTTGACTTGATAACGATAGAGTAGAAGTGATTTTTCAGGGGATCTGAAAACCAGAGGGGTTGGGTGGCCTTCCTGTTCTCCATTTAAACTTTGTTTGATTTTAGGAAAATAAAGGGGAGAGGTAAAACATACAAAAGGGCAAAGAGGTGTTTTTCTATTCTAAATATTCTCTATTTCACATGCTGTGTATGAAAAGGTTTTGATGGTTAACAAGCCTTACCAAGTCAAAGAATATGGAAAAGCATTGGACGCCCAATTTATAATAAGGAACACAAGGCACAATCGCATACATACACATATATATTGGCAATATTTAATGCCCTTTAGATCGTCTACGATGCTGCCCACTTCTTTGTTCATGTCAGAAAGATAACAATACTTTAATATTTTGTCCATTGGAACATTTTAGAAAACTAAACTGTGTTTTTCAAATGGACAGCTCGATTCTTTATTTTAATCCAAAAAAATCCCCTTTTTAGCTGAAGCTTGCTGCAGCAATCCCTTAATTCAATAGTCTTGAGCCGTTGTATCAAATGGTTCCCCTTTTTTTTTCTTTCTTAATTTTAATTTACAAAATATAGATTAAGAGATTGTTTGGTACAGCGGTTAAAATTCAACAGATAGCGGATAACAGGTAGCGGATAGCAGATAACGGATAGCGGATAGCAGATAACGGATAGCGGATAACGAATGACGAATAGCAAAAAATAGATAGAGAATGGTAAATGGTGGATTCGATAAATATAACTGTTTGACTATACAATAATTAGCTGTTATTATTTAATATTAAATGACTAATAAGTAATAAGGACATTTTTAAAAACAAATAAGTGTATTTTTTGAAATATTTTTATTTTTTATTATTAAAATTATTAATTTTACAAAAAAATAATAAAAAAATAAATAAAATTAATTATATATAATAATATAATTACACTCTCATTTTTATTTTTAAAAAAGAAAAAGTTATATTATTTTTTAAATAAAAAAATTAATCATTTTGTTTAATTAACAAATTTTGTTTTTTAAGATAACATATTTTTTAATTATAAATTAATATACAACAAAAATATTATAATCACTTAATGTTATTAAAGGTAAAAAAACTAAATTGAAATTTATTAGATAATTATTAATTAAAAAATGTGATCACAAATTAAAAAATTAAAATGGATAAATTTGTCAATAAAATTAAAAAATTTTAATCCTCTAAGGATTTAATACAAAAAGTTACATAAACCAACTTTTTCAATCTGCTAGCAGTTTGAACCCTAACCGCTATACGTTAGTTTTAAACCGCTAAATAAAAATTTTACCAAACACTTTATTTATAACAGTTTTGAAATATATAAATTTACCATACACCTACTTTCGACGGTTTAGGTAAAACCGCTAACTGTCACCCCAAAACTGTTATACCAAACGGGCCTAAATAAAATAATGTTAAAATAACTTTTAAAAAAGCTCTATGTATTGAAAAATGAAATATTCTATTTAAAGATTAAATATATCAAAATATAAATTTATATAAAATAATATTAATTATGATAATCCAGCAACAAAATAAGTTTTTTTCATTGTTCTCCACCGTATACGCTCTTTCAAGCCAAAGCCAAAGAATATGGAAAGAGATGAATTTTTTTGAACAAGGAAATTTTGGGAAAGGTAGAAGGTGCAATTTAGCCCTTCTACTTGTAATGTTGTGGCAAGTCAGGCCCCTATACTTTAAACCAGGGCAAATCAGCCCCTTTACTTAAAGAAATCCTCAAAAACAACCTTTTTGTAAAGCTGATGTCATCCAATTGTTAAATAGTTCCATTGCCCATTAAAGTCTGATGAGTTGGCACTAATTGGGGGTTGATGTGGACCAAATTAAAGTCCTCTAGGGTTACCCTCAATGATTTTTGATATTAATTGATATATTAAGTGATACTAATTGTTTAAACACAAGTAAAAAAGTGAGGATAGAGAAAATAGATTCTCCCTCATGTATAGCAAGAGTTGGAGAATCTTAAGGGAAAGAATCTCAAAAAGGCTTGTCTTCATGGTTTAGGAGGTATTTTTTCCATAGTTCCTTTTTGATTTTAGCTTATGATTATAAAATGAAGCTCTAATTTGAAAAAGTAAAGGTTTTTTTATTTTATTGTCACTTTCACTTTTTATTTTTAATTAGTAATAGAGTTTTATTTGATTGTTGTGTGTATTCAATAATATTTAAGGATTTCAAATGAGCTATCAAACTTGATATTCATAAGAGAAATTCAAAAACCTCGAAAAAAGTAACAAGAAAAAAAGAAATTGATCGGAGAGATCG